TCCTGTAGAAATATTAGCACCAAAAAATAGTATAATATAAATGGTATCTTCTCGTTTTACAGTTTATACAAGGTGCTATGTTTTTTAATAAAAATTATTATATATCATGTTTATACAAATAAAACTAAACACTAATTTGAAACAAATGTTGATATTTTGATGTGGATAAGTATCTTGAGGTGTATACATAAATATCTTTGTTAAGTATAATTCTTTATACATTCAAGTAATGATATTTTTATTATTATTACTATTATTATTATAAGAAGGATGGGCATTTGTTACAATTTGTTTTGCTATTTATTGACAATTATCTTTAAGAAACTAAAATATAAATATAAAGCTTAGTAAAACATAAAACCAGTATAGCACTTATAATTTTTCTTTTACAATAATATTTTTTCCACTATCACAATAAATGTTTTATTATTAGGTAAATAAAAAAAAAAAGTTACCTCTTCTTCAAATTCAATATTTCTATTTTCTTCAGAACTTCTGTCGTCAATGGCCTCTTCGCCTTTATCCACTTCCATCTCAACATCTGAGACATCTTCCATTTCCATCTAAATAAATAATACATTAAAAATAATACATTGAGGATAATATGAAATAGTATATCACTACCTCGCTTTCTGAAGGAGAAAGAAGCAATGACCGTATATCCAATAGTATTTGATCAGAAGGTGTCTTTACCCAAGATCTCATTATGCCATTAATATCATGGGCTGTTCTATGATGAATATTACGTTTGATACATAAATCAATATCACATTCTAATTCAATAATATATACCTAAATAAGAATATTTAATTTAAGAATACAATTTTATTATTTAACACTAACTTTATGATTATGCTTAAGAAGACGTCAGCGCTAGTGATGGGAATTATTCGAATATTCRAATTCGAATAGGTCTGTCGTAAATAATTTGAATATTTGAACATTCGAATATCAGTATTCGATGCTACAACACAATATGTAACAAAAATTATTCGTTTAAGTTTTCGCGCAACACAAAACGTTTAGTAATAATATTATATGGCGCATAAAGGCCTGCAAGAAGTGAATTCGAATCCAGCAATATTTACTATTTGACAGGGCAATTTATTAAAATACAAAAATAAAAATTCTACAAAATACTGGAATACCATAATTANAAATGATTATAGACAAGTTATTAATTTAAGATGAAATAGGTTAAAATTTCAAAAATCAAACTTATATTTTTTCTTTAGGTGGCTTTATTATGAGTATAGTATAAAGATAAGTGAAAAATAAAAAAATAACTTTTTTTTCTGTAGTATATTTATGACAAGCATGAACAATCTTTAAGCATTTAACAAATCAATAGTGAACTAATAGTTCCATAAATATGATTTAGTGGCACATTAAATCGTATTAAACTATTACATAAATACATTTTTCATGCAACCTGGTAAGTAACTTAATACACTATATAAGCTAATTTCTAAATGTGAAAAACAATATGTCCTTTTGTCCTTCTTTGATTGTGATTGTAGTGTAAATAAAATAAGAAATTTGCAATCTTGGTGGGCAAAGTTTGAATCCCACACTGAACATAAAATATATCATAGAAATGCAAAAAAAATATTGATCTTGAATATCATTTTAGACTTTAGATTTAGCTTACTGTTGGCGTAAGGTCACCTAGGAGTGGAGCGATAACAAACAAGTACCCATAATTATAAGTGTATTAATTATTTAATAACCAGTGCTTGAATTATGGGAGAAGGGATCGCACAGTRAACCAGAGCACAGTTTTTTAATCCTTGGATTGAGCTTCTTCTCTAATTAATTTTTCCAAATTCGAGCACTGGTAATAAACTAATAACTAACAATATGTATATTGATATTTAGGGAACAAAAATAACTTCATGAAACTATTAATATGAATGAATTAATTGTGTGAGTTGGCCAATCCAAGTTATGGGATAAATGTGGATTAAGTTATATAAATATTAAATGGTAATACTAATACATACCCTTTTTTTACCATCATTTAACACTATTTGTTCACTAACGGAGTAATAATCTTCAGGTATTTGCAACCATTCTTTTATCGAGCTTTCTGGTTTTTTCTTGCATAGACCATCCAATCTTTCTGTAATACATTTTTCATTTAAGTATTTAAATTAAATGTTCAATAATTGTAAAAAAAGTAATTTGAAGTATAATACTGATTTTTTTTTTTTTTTTGAAAACAAACAGTAAATATGTAAGAAAAATGGAAAAAATAATTTAATGAAACATACTCATCTTTTCTTCTTGTGGTATAGTATCAGTCCATTTGCAAGACAATAGTTTCATGACATCCTGTAGAAATATTAGCACCAAAAAATAGTATAATATAAATGGTATCTTCTCGTTTTACAGTTTATACAAGGTGCTATGTTTTTTAATAAAAATTATTATATATCATGTTTATACAAATAAAACTAAACACTAATTTGAAACAAATGTTGATA